CTATCTGGTAATCGTCTACCAATTATTCACTTCATATTTTAATCTTTAACAACCCCCAAATCCAATATTTTCCCATTTTTTCAAAATTTTAAACATCTCCCCCCCCCCTCTAATTTTTATGCATTAACAACATTCGAAAAATCATCCAAAAACTCTCAAACAATTATTGAATTAAGGACTGCAACTTAATTAAGTCATTTTTGGATTGAATGAAATCTTGGCAAGATATTTAAGAAAAAGGGTGGAAATCAACGAAAAATAACGCTGTTAACCAGACTCCCCCCTTAACGGGGTGTCCGTACTAATCGGGATGAATTAAGAGAAACTGTAAGGGCTAGGGACAAAGAAAACTGTCCGTATTAAGCGGGTGTCAGTAAAGCGGGGTTGACTGTACTCCGGCGACAGTCATGAAATTGAAACATATTAGAGGGGATTAAAAGAATTAACCGACGAGCGTAAAAAGTAAATCACTAGCGTTACAGGAAGGAAAAGTTACGAGAGCGTACGGTACCGTTGCCTCTTATCTTCAATCAACAGTTTGAAGGGTGTTGTTGTTGTTGATAATTTCAGGTGAGACCGCAAAAGGTCGTTATCCAGTAAAAGCCATAGCCATGATGCACAAGATTTGCCGTGAAGCAGAGGCCGCCATTTTTCACAGGCAGCTGTTTGATGACTTGAGGCACTCTATGAACAGAGTCGCAGATACTCACGAAACAACTGCCATAGCTGCAGTGGCTGCGTCCTTCACAGCTAATGCGGCGTGCATAGTCTGTCTCACGCACACGGGAAAGTAAGTCGAGTGCCCAGGGGCAGGCGGGGGTGGGGGGAATGAACAAAATGTTAAACGCGGAGGTTCCGCCCCGAGGTCCAACCCCTTACCTGCCTTTTATATACCATTTTTGTCAGAAAATGTACCCCTTTCACATGCCTTGTTTAGAATACTGCACCCCTTTTAACTGCTGTAAATGCACTTTCTTTCAAGAATGAATAATTCAAAGAGCAGAACGGTTTTTCGACTTTTTCACAGCCATAAAATGCATTTAGACACAAGTTGGCAGATTTCCCCACCCTTTCTTATACTTCAGCTAGTGAAATCTGTACCCTTTCACCTACCTGAAGCCTGAACAAGGTACCCCTTTTGGGCGGAACCTCCCCGTATAGGCCATTATAGGAAGTACCCCCACCCCCCATCCCCCGGGGGGGGGGGTCTGCGTAGCTGGCGGAATTGTTTTCGCTCGTGTGAGAATTTTTGTTTTTCACGTGCGTCTCCTCCCAATTCTCCGCACGACTTCGCAGCTCCTCTGCTAAAACTTTGCTCGTGCTATAACGATCCCGCCGGTTACGCAGGCTAGTCAAGAGAGAACCAAGATTATTTACCTTTTACAAATAAAATGTTTCCTGGTCAGAAAGCTAATGGCAAACGACCTCCTTGGTCTTTGCGGGAGTAACAAAACGTTTGAGAAGGCAGTCCTGTTTTCTCGTTCGAGGTGTTTCAAACAGAAATTTGAGTCCCAATTGTCTTCCTGCTACATAACTGATAACAAATCCTAGTTTACACGGCCATATCTCAGTAAATGAAAGTGTTTTGTGCAATTATCAAACGGAAGTTCCGAGTGGAATTTTCCTTTGGCGCGTAGAAGCGCGTGCACCATTTGTCCAAACCATAACCCGAAATAAACCGATCAGTTTCCCAATGTTAATGCGCAAAGGTTTATTAGGGACCTTAAGATCCGACGACGGCGACGGGAACGGGAACGCCACAAAATCAATAGGTTTAATAACCAAAACAACAATTTTGCATCACGTTTTTTTGTACATTTCATTGCCGTCACTGCACGACTATGACGTGAAAATGCCTAATTTCAAGTTGTACAGAGGAAGTACACAAGTGACTACGAAATTTCCTCTCTCTTTCTGAGCTTGGATATGGTTCTTAGGAATTGAAAAAGTTAGTGACTTGGAGTAATCGCGATGAAGATTGAAATAACACGAATTCACTTTTCCAGCGACGTTTCCTCCACAGTCGCCTTCCTCGGATCTTAAGGTCCCTATTTTATCTGCTGGGACGCAACCTAGTGTTCGTTGCCGTTGTAGGAAGGCGTTATAATTATTTTTGTCTACTTTTTCGTTTAGGACTGCTGAAGTAGTGGCGCGCTTTCGTCCCCGCTGTCCTATCATCGTGGTAACACGTGACGCGCGCGTGGCACGCCAGATGCACTTATACAGGGGCTGCTTCCCGCTTATTTACGATAGACCGCCAAAAGAGAACGTGCTTGAAGAACACGATGAGCGGCTTGAATTTGCGCTGGACATGGGCAAAAGGATGGGATTCATGAAAGTAGGAAACGCGTTTGTGTTTGTGTCGGGTTGGAAGGCTGGCGCAGCTCATACCAACACAATCCGCATCCTTACTGTCATGGAAGAGAAGATTCATATCGCCAAGAGTCTGTCAGAGTCCGCAGATATAAAAGGAAGGATGCAAAACTTGACCGTGCCCTAGGCGTTAAATTTGCCAGCATGAGAACTCTCAGAAGTTTTTAACTTGGAGTGGTTTTTGACAGTGTGAAACATGTAGACGATGCTGAATTCAATATTGCTAGGAAATAGATTATTTATCGTGTATTTGGATTTTTTGATCACAATGAGCTTTCGTGTCAGTTGCAAAACTACCGGCTAAGGCGGCTGGTGTGAAAAAGGTAAACTGAATAAACTCATCCTCAGTTGTTATTATTGATTTATAGTTGCATTTTATATTTTCCATGTGGTTCAGAGTCTGAAGGGGGGAAGGGTTGGTCCTGATCGCGGTTTCCCGCTCTTTTTTCGCGACTATTCCGCATCCCAAACGTCTGTCATCTGCGCCTCGAGTACCGTTTTTCTTTCAACCCTTTTTAGTGCATGATTTTGGCGAATCTCGCATTCCCACTAGCATTCAAATCCCGTGTCCCGTCAAGACTTTCTGCTTTTTCCCGAATCCCGCTCTGTATTTTAGTCAAATCCAGTAGTTAGTAAATGCTGCCATCCCACTCACTTTTTTTCTAAATTTTATTTCTGCATCATCTCGCAATATCGCTCTCTTGTTCACTCATTTCGCAAAACTCATTCGTTAAACTCACTTCATTCACTTCATTCGCTTCATTCACTTCATTCAATTCGTTCGCTTCGCTCACTCATTTCATTCAGTTCATTCAGTTCATTCAGTTCGTTCAACTCATTCGAATTGCTTCAATCGTTCACAAGTAGTCGCTCACATTGCTCGAAGATCCAGAAATAAAAATTTAGAAAAAAAGTGAGTGGGATGTCAGCATTTACTAACTACTGTATAATAAATAGTGATATTGAATCAGAAAATAAAAAATTGATTTTAAAAAGAAAATATAATAAAATATAAATGGGACAATTGACACACATTTCGTATAAAATACCAGAATATGCAAAAGAGTACAAAAGAGAGTATCAGTATATTCGAGGTATAAATAAAGCGATTGCTTTTATGTGTGATATTATGGAAGAAGAGGAATCTGATACACATGTAAAAATTGATCGTGATATTATAAGTAACAAATTTGACAGTCTTATGAAATTTATAAAAAGATTTTTGAGAGCAATTGAAAATGGAAAATTGAAAGATATTAGTAATTTTGAGTTTGGTTATTTTGATATTGACTATATATACGAAGTTAAATTTAGTATAGATTATTATCTTTATCTTATTCAAAATTACTATGATTGGAGTAGAGGTTTAAACGATAAAGGTTTAGTATCTCGTTATGAAAGTTATAAACATGATTTAGAATTATTTCTTTCTAAAATAAATCTTAAACTTCAAGATACTGGTGATAGTGATACTGAGTCTTGTAGTGATAGTGATAGTGATAGTGATAGTGATTAATTTATTCTAAACTTATAACATATCATGTTACAAGTTTTTTATAAAAGAATTAGGATTAGTATAATCAAATATATAAATGGATTTTATATTCAAAGTATTTCCTGATTTGTATAGAGAAGAGTATGAAAAAGAAAAAATATATAGAAGTAAACAAAAGTTAAAATCAGGATAAGAAGAAGAATTAATATAACCAACTAATAAAAATGGAATCAAGATCTAGAGAAACTACTCCTAATCAAGAGGATTTGGATTTTATAGTTGATGATGGTTATCAACATGATAAGGATCCAGATTACATTCCACCCCAAAGATACATTCTTGAAGGACCAGATTTTAAGAGATTAACCAAAAATGCTAAAAAACTTGGTGCTGAATCACTTGATTATTCAACTCGTAAAAATAACAAATACATGGCTACACTTCCAGGTGGAAAGAAAGTTCACTTTGGGTCACCTAAATATCCAGACTACACTATTTACAAAGATAAAGAGAGAAGAGATAAATATCTATCTCGTGCTATGAAGATTAAAAATAAAAAGGGAGAATTAACTTATACTAAACCAGAATCTTCAAACTTTTGGTCAGTAAATTTACTTTGGCCTAAAAAATAAAATTAATATATGATTTAAAGATTAACTAAATATTAATAAAATGCAGTTGTCAAGTTACGAAAATATTACCCAAGAGAATATTATTTTTAATGAACCCAAAGAGTACAAAGTAAAAGATAGCAAGATTAAATACAAACGTATTCCAATTGAAGTCAAATACTCAAATGGAAAGAAAGGACCACTTGTAGTTGAAACTCCAGATTTTTTTAGTTTTGGGGTTAGTGAAAAGAAAAATCAAGAAACAGGTAAATTGGTTGGTTATAGTATTCCAGTATGTCTTTGGTCTAAAGATACTGAACCTAATAATAAAGAGAGAGCATTTTTTGATGTTATTAATAATGTAATAAAATTTTCTCAGCAACATTTAGAGAATGAATATGGACCAGATTTAGCATCAACTTTATCTTCACCATTTTACTATAAACAAATAGAATACACAGATAAGAAAGGAAAAAAGAAAACAAAAGTTGATGAATCATCATCACCAGTTCTTTATGCAAAACTTATTTACTCAGAAAAAACAAATAAAATATTATCTTTGTTTAAGGGAAAGAGAGGTCGTGATTTAAATCCTTTTAAATATATTAACCAGTACTGCCGTGTTAAATTAGCATTGATAATTGAAGGAATTTTTATAAGTAATACTGTTACATCTTTACAAATAAAAGTACACGAGTGCTATGTTAAAGAATTAGAACCTAGAAAGAGTTTACTTAAAATTGATGAAAAAAGTAGTGATAGTGATAGTGATAGTGATAGTGAAGAGATAATTGATCAAGTAGTTGAAGATTTAATTTTATCGGATGAAGAAAAAAAGAATATAATAACTATTTTTTTAATACAAAATTTGTATTACAGTCAAACCAAGTCAAGCGTACCCCCCAAGATTCTATCAGTGAATTGATTATTTGAAAAATGAATCCGTTAGCCGTTCCCGTAACTGGTGTCAAATTCAAAGCGGCATTTCTGCATGCGTAATGAGCATTGAATATTTTACGAGAACTTCTCTGTATTTGGTCAGATTGGAAATCTTTGAATGGATTAAGCTTCTTAGAAGACATTTACATCAATTTCAGGAAAATGGAGCTGGTAGAAATTTCATAACTGCCTCGCGTGTGAATTCACGGCTCATTACACATACAAGAATGCAGAGATCAATCTGAAATCTACAACTAGCAATAGATTCAACTTTTGAATAATGAATTCATTAATGGCTCCTTGGGGGGTACGCTTGACCTGGTTTGACTGTAAAAATCAACCAAATCCTTAGAACTTACCCATGAGTTAAATTTATCAGGATATCCACTCCATTTTACTAATGAAATTTTTTTCTTATTATCTCGTCTGATAATCTTTTCTATTCTAAATGTTTGTTGTTTTGCTTTCTGTAATTCTTGATCGTAAAAAGAACCCTTAATCTCTTCTCCCATAAGATCAACAATGCTATACGTAACAGGTTTTGTAGGTAAAACTTTATCAATTACGAATATTTCTTCTGTCCAGTTTGGTGTGTAACCTTTATCAAATACCTTTCTCTTATATTTTGAGATTCTAACATGATCACCAATTGAAAACTTTGGCTTACGAGGTTTCAAGTAGATTAAATCACCATATAAATTAGACCTAACTTTATTTTCATTCTTCTTTTTACTTGCTTCAACAGGAGTCATTTTAATGCTAGAGTGTCTCGAATTATTGTAATCATTAACTAGTTTATCTAACTTATCCCAGTAAACAGTGTTGTTATTCACAGTAAACATCTTCCACATTATGTTTTTCATTGTTTTATTCCATCTCTCAACAACACTAGATTTTTCCTCGTTTTCAGTGTGATACAGTTTAATTCCCTCTCTTTTAAGAAAATCTTTAAAATGTTTGCTTATAAATTCGGAACCTTTATCAGTCCATAACATTTGAGGTTTACGTTTACTTTTAAATATGTCATCGAATGCTTTACTGACGGTTTCGGTTTTTTTATCTTTCAAACCTCTAATCCATCCATACTTGCTAAACACATCAATAACCATTAGAAGATATTTAATCCCTTTGTTCCACTTACTAAACTTTTGCATTTCTACCAAATCAGCAGCCCAGATATCATCAATCCCATTTGATATTACTAATCTTTTTTGAAAGTTTCTTGTGATTGGTTTGTGAAGTTCGTTGGCTAATTGTTGAGACCAATCACTACTCAACGCCGTTTCACTTTTAAACCAAGACCAAGTTTTTGTTTTGTATTAATCAAGAATCTAGCAGTTGATCCCCACTTTGGCATTTCACCATATGGTATCTCATCCAATGATTTTACCATCTCTTTATCACAATCACCTTTGTTTTTTCCCATATCGTAACAAATATCGTGATAAGCTGCAATCTCATCAACTTTGTTATACGGTTTAACTTTCCATTCTATTACCTTTCCAGTTTCAGGATCATAGCTTAATTGTTTATCAAGAGGATTGTATGGACCCATATATTTGTATGAACCTGGAGTCCATCCTGCTTTTGGTTTTGGAAGTTTTCCAATTACTTTATGTATATCAATTCCTTTCCCATCTAATTCTGGTCTATCAGTTTTATACTTTTTATTTGGTCTAACTTTTGTTGACAGTTGATCCATTGCTGTTCCAACAGAATCTTGAATAAATGGAGTTAGTTTATTTATCCCATAATTTACAGCTTTTTTTTGAACGTTTTTATTTCTCATTAACTCACTTGCTCCATATTTACCCATTTCAACTGCTTTTTTACCCATCCAAGGTAAACCAAAATGTACAAATCCATCAACTGCTGTACCAACAACAGTATCAAAGACGCCCGCCCCTTCAGACGGGCTTATTAGTTTTTTGACTTTCTTTTTGATTTGGACTTTTTACCACTTCCAGTTTGAGAAGCAGATCCAGTTTTAACATATCTAACTTTTTTGTTTCCACAAACTGCACATCTACAAAAGAATTGAGTTCTTCCTCTTTTATCATTTTGATAACCACTTGGCTCTGT